AGGAAGGTTGGGCAATCTACTTCCATAGTGATACCACCTCGGAAACCCAAGGAGGGGTCACTATGAGTCAGGTCCAACTTGACAGCACATAACAACAACAACAACAACAACAGTAATTAATGACGGAACTAGACAGATGCTATAATGCATTCAAAGGAGAAGTCAAAGCAGCACAAGTTTATATGGAGTAAAGGAATGTTGAAATGAATGTGCAAACAGGGCAAAACTAGCTTTTTCTATAATAGGAGGGGAAGGAAGCCAATTATACCTCTGCTGGACAGGACAGCTTGCATGTTTATGTAGAACAGTATTTATACATTATTCTCACTGACCTAAGATAACTTCTATAGAATCAGAATCAGAATCAAATAACCTCGAGGAGTCTTTTCTAGAATCTAGACAATGCAGTTTTACACTGAAGCTCACCATTTTGCCTACATCATTAAGCCAAACAAAAATAAAATCACCGTCCTTACCCCTCTATGAATAATGGTAGTTTTTACTTTTAGTAAAACTTTTTTTAGTAAAAAATAGTTTTTACTTTTACTTTTAACTCTTGGAGCAACAAGAGAAGGAACTTCCATCTATGTATTGTCTACTACACGCATTACTTGTCAACTTATTCCATCCTTACAACAGCCTCATGAAGTAGGCAGTGATGTTCCCATTTTACATATAAGAAAATTGAGGCTCAGAGAGGTTAAGGACATGGCTAGTAATGGCAGAGTTAGAATTTCAGCCTGTCCTTCTGCCTCCAAAGTGCACACACACATTTCCTCTTTCTCCATGTCACAGCTTGCTAATAGTAAAAGCAGTAAATATATATATTTTTTTCTTGATCTTTAGGTCATCATCAGCCAAGATAGGTCTCAAGAGTGGCCTGGAAGAATGTACAGTGGCATTGACTTATTTCTAAGGAACAAATTTTCAGATGCCTTAGAATTACTTCATCCCTAGTAATTTATTTCTTTAAGATAAAATATATGTTTGCAGCTTATTCTGTCTGTTTGTAAGTTAATTTATCTGCATTTCCACCTGAATGAGTGTAAGCGAATTTGATTGAGACCTCTTACTGCTGGTCAACTTTAATACCTAGTTAAGCATTCTGATTTGTGAGATGTAATCAGCCAAATTTTCTATCTCATATTTCAATTTCCATTCTTCCTTGTTCAAATGCTATCATTTTAAATAGTGTTATTGTTGTTGTTGTTGTCCATGGAGTCAGACCTGCCTCATTACAACCCTTTCTTGGGTTTCTGAGGCATTATTACTACAGAAGTAGATTGCCCAACCTTCCTTCCGAGGAGTGGCTAGTGGGTTTCAACCGCCAGCCTTCTGGTTAGCAGTCAAGTGTCTTAGGGACTATGCTGCCAGAGCTCCTAAATAGTTTTATAGGGCTTCAGTTTTGTTTTCTTCAGTAAAATATTTTTGTGGATGTTGCTCCTAAACTTAATTATAGTTGAAAAACAATTTCCTTCTTTGATGTGGAGAAGAATCTAACTAGAATATACTGATCTCAAAATCTCACTGTCACACAGCCTCTCACCTCTATCCTTTCTGCCTCCTTCTCATCCCCTCTGTTCTCAGTTTCTGAGAGATCTCTCTCTCTCTCTGTCTCTCCCTTAGCCTGGCTCTCCCTCTCTGCTGGCTCTCCCTCAATCTCTGACTTTCCCTCTGCCTCCTGCCTGTCTGCTTCCTTCCATTTTTTATTGTCTTTCATTTTTCCTTCTGCCATTGATGCCCAGCTGGTCATCCTATAAAAAGAAAATACATTATTTAATGATATATTTATTCAGGTTTTACACTCTCTTTTTTTAATGCACATTTCACTGTTAAAAATATGTGGTTTCTTTTCTCCCCCTCTTGAAAGTGCTTTCAGGTAATAATGTGAGGTCTGAAGCCACAATTAATGAGTAAGGGTAGGCTGCTCTTATTCCTTGCAGTTCTTTTAAACAGGCAGTGAGTGCCCTCAATGTTCAGGACAAGCTGCAAATTACCAAAGGATGTTTAGGCTGTTTACACGGGGTGGGGGGCAGGAAGAGGAAGGGAAGGATAATGTGACCTGGATTTATTTGGTGTAACAGCAGGCTATGCTTTGCTATTGAAAACAAAACCAGGCACGGATAATTTAAAACTTACACATAATCAATTAACAGAACACAAGTTTTGTGATAGATGAGAATCTGAGCTAATTAATGTTTAGAATTGAAGCAGTTCACTGGTAACTTGATAATTTTACTTATCATGAACATTTGTGTGGAATCACAGATAACAGGATTCATAGTATTTGAAGATTAGATGTGAAGTCTGGGTCTACTTTTGTCAGGCCCCTCTGTGGTGGACCTAGTTGACTGCAGAAATCTTGCTTCTTGGCTTTTTGATGGCGAGGGGAAGTGACGATTTTAATCAAGTCTTTATTTTTCAAAAAACTTATCAGAATTTTTCTGTCACCAAATATATTTACAGTAGCCTTTATCTTAGCTCTTACTTCAAAGCTGAAGACAGTGCACTGCACTTTGTTCAGTAAGAGAAGGTAAAGACCATTAGGGGAAAATGGGTTAGGTTTAAATCCTATTCTAGGAAATGAATCCACAGGGTGCCCCCTTGTGCTAAAACAGGGAGATGCTTGTCTGCTTCTGCTTCAACTAGGAACATTCTGTTCTGACTCTGAGTTTAAACTGGAAAACCCTTGGTACTTGAGTTTTTAGAGCATGCCTTTCACAGTCCATATCATTTCAGTGATTATTAGTGTTTCTTGTGATTAGTGTCAGAAAAGACCTGCACTGCTTCCTCAGTCAATTTTAAATGTTGTAATTCTCTGTGTTCTCTCCAAGGCAAAGGACAGCATGTACCAGGCCTTGGGCTACAGCACCATTGTGGTGTTGCAGGCCATTATGACCTTAGAGCATCAGGACATCCAGAATGGCATTTCTGCCATGAAGGACGCTTTACAAACCTGCCAAAGGTATGACTGAGTAATTAAGGACTTGAAGTATGACTTCAAATCTTGCTGTCTGAGTGCCTAAATAAATGCTGTTTGCCTGATTAAGAGCTCTGCATTTGAACTTGGTCACACAGAAAAAGACTTTGGCTTCAAAGTTTCTTGGCCTCGTGTAGTTTTATGTAATGATGCCATAAGTGTCTATTAAGAATAATAGTGTGATTCCGATTTGACCAAATACATGGCAGCTGTGCTTTCCACTTTTCTTGTTTGGTAACTTGGGGTCTGAGCTATAGAGATGGTCTGGGAGATTTCAGCTCCATTAACAATGGAGCATTGTTGTTTTACGTGGGAAGGGAATGTTTTGTTTACCTAAAAAAGGACATATTTGAACACTTTCAGTTGGTTAAAATGAGGTGACTTTTCAGTTTTAAGCTTTGCTATATTTGTATATGAGAAGATCCTCAGCAGAAACTATTGACATGAGTGAACTTTTTTTAAAATATAACTTTTTATTGTGATTTGGGTGAAAGTTTACAGAGCAAATTGACTTCCCATTCAACAGTTCATATGATTTTATTTTGTGACGTTGATTGCAATCCCCACCATGTAATAGCACCCTTCCCACTTACTCTGTTTACTCTCTCTGTTCACCATTTCCAATTTTCTTATCCCTTCCTGCCTTTGAGCTTTATCCCTGAGCAAAAGCTACTCTTTTGATCTCATATGACTGATTGTCCTAAGGGGTGTGTACATCTCTGATGTTATTGTTCACCCGGTAGCCCTGTCGTTTGTTTCGAAGTTGAGCCACAAGAGTGAGTTCAGTTCTAGGCTTGAAGAGTTTCTGAGGGCCAAAGTGCTGAGGGTTCCACCAGTCTCTAGCAGACCAGTAAGCTTGTCCTTTTTATGATTTTTGAGTTTTGTTACACATTTTTCCCACTCTGTGAAGGACCTTCTATTGTGATCCCTTAGCACGGGTGAATTTTAAAACTGGTAAAATTAGATGCTCGTGTAATAATGTTGTAAGCCCCTCAAATGAAGAGAGTTCCCAGATATTCATACTTTCATCTTTACTCTTAATCTGAAGAGTCTTACCAAGATACTGACTTAGCTACGTAGATGAGAAAAAGTTCTCTGTAGGCTTAGTATCCATTGGTTTGTGTGGGTTTCCCCACTCGTTTATTTATTCAGTAAGCATGGGCCTGGTGCTCATAGGGGAACAGCCCAGTGCTGGGAGCTGGGTGTGCAGGGCTCAGAAGGATGGTCTTTACTCAATAGACTTTAGAGTTCCAGTTTGATGATTGTTTGGTGTGATTGTGACTGAAATGAATGTGAAATGAAAAGAAGCTTAGCCTGATGCATTGTTATTTTTCCTTTCTATTTTCCTTGTCTCTTTTCACTTATTCAGTGCAGATATAGGAAAAAATGCACTGTTGTTTACTTTTTTTCAAGTCTTCTTTCTAGAGGCTCTTTGGAGCAGCTGACTGAAAATAAGAGTCATCAAAAAAACCAATATATTCTTTCCTTTAAAAGAGTAAAAGATGACAGTGCTCATAAAATTCAATACTAAAGTGTTTAAAGTAAATGGAAAGTCTTTTTTCCTTGCCCATCATGTTCAGCCTTTAGAAGTAACCATTGTTACTTGTTGGTTTTGAAGTCTTGAAGATGTCTGTATGCATAAATGTATATATGAGCTCCACACAGGGTCTTTCTGTTTTTCATGTTTTGCAAGCATAGAATCATACAGTAAGTACGTTACTTTTACAACATGATTTTTGACCCTGATGTTTTCTCATGTCAGTACATATACATGTACTTCATCCCGTTTAACAGCTATGCTGTAGTCCATATGATGAGTGCACTATAATTAACTTACCTTTTCTCTATTGAAGGTCAGTTACATTGTTTTTATCTTTTCACTGTTACAAATCGTGCTGTCCTAAAATCCTTGTACCTATATCTTCATGCATTTTTGCAAGTATTTCATGGGATAGATTCCTAAAAGTGGAATTACATGCTCTGAGGGTTAAAAAAATTTTAATATTTATAGCTATTGCCAATTTTTTCTCCAAAGAGTTGGGTCAGTTTATATTCTTACCATTTATGTGTAAGGGTTTCTAATTTCTACACTATATT